TGTGTATTCCTATGAAGTGGATCGCTCATTCCAATCGATCGCGATCAATAATTATGATCCAAAAGCCTTGCGTGTACTTTAACTATTTTGATCCACATCAGTCAAATTATTATTAATTTTTCGCATTGAATCACCATTTAAAGGCAACTTATGAGCATTGTGCAGTAGTCGATCAAGTATGGCATCTGCTAATGTTGGATCACCAATAGATTCATGCCATTGTATAGTCGGTAATTGGCTTGTAACAAGCGTACAACTCGAACCATGCCTATCTTCCATTATTTCCAGTAAATCAGTTCTGTGAGAAGATGAGAGCTGATCTAGTCCCCAGTCATCAATAATAAGTAACTTTGATTTAGCAATGGATTTGATTAATCTTTGATAGGTGCCGTTAGCATGAGCAATTGTTAGTGCCTCAAATAACCTAGGGGCTCTATAGTAACTAACCGATAATCCTTGTCTACAAGCATGGTTACCAATGGCGCATGCCAGGTAGGTTTTTCCACATCCGGTAGGACCTGTTATTAGTAAATTTTGATTCCTTTTCAGCCATTCCCCATTAGCAAGATTAGCCATTTTATCTTTCGACAAACCTCTTGGGTGTGAATAATTAATATCTTCTACTTTCGCCTGTATTTTAAATCTAGCAGTTCTAATAAGCCGTTCTATCCTTTTATTATTACGATGATTGTATTCACGCTCAACTAGCATTCCAATACGATCTTCACAGCTTAGCTCTGAATAGGTATTTGGTTGTTCTAGCTGTTCTTCAAAAGCTTTATAAAGACCATATAGTTTCATTGACTTTAAATTTTCAATCGTTGTTTGTACTGACATAATTACACCTCTATTGATAGTAATCGGAACCACGAATGTTTTCATGGTTGGTTGTAACAGATGCTTTGGTGGCATCACTTATTTCGACGCGATCCATGCCATTGCGCAATATTAGTTGCACATTTTTCCTTCTAGGCGCGCCTATTTCAATCGCTTTTTTACAAGCAAGATTCAAACGTTCGGCGCCATAATCTTTATTTAAGTTTAAGATTCCTAAACAAGAACGGTAACTTTGCTCTAAATGCCTACGTTCATTCAAAATGACTTTTATAATTTCCTCCACATGTTCACCTAACTTACTAGCCTTATCAATAAATTTAGCAGGTGACCAATCAGAGAAGTATTTATGCTCTTCAGGCATATGGTCTGTTATGGTTGTGTGAGCACCTTTTGCAAATGACTTGGCATGTACGGCAATTCTTTCTCCTTTATGATAAATACTTAAACAGTTGTTTTCTAAGTGTAATTCTACTTTGCTCTTGGTAAGTTGGTGTGGAACTGAATAATAGTGGCCATCTAGTTCAACATGATAATCTATGCCAACGGTAGAATATTTTATTTCTGTATAGTAATACTTATCGCTTGGTAGTGGTTTTAATGCTGGTTTATCAATACTAACAAATGCAGAACGCCTACAACCAGGTAATTTCTGAAATGGTTTATCATTGTATTCGATTAGCAACTTCTTTATTTCCAAATTCAATTCACTCAAAGAAAAGAATTCAATCTTTCTGAGTCTGGCTAAGATCCATTGTTCTACACATTTAACACCTGTTTCAACTTTAGCTTTGTCTTTT